TCTTGTAAACCGCTTAGAGAGGGCTGAAAGCCCTATGAAGCGGTATATAAGTCTAACTGCTATTGCTATGAATATAGAAAAAGGACATTACTGGAGTAATGTTGGCCTGGCAGCTGGAACCCTCAAAGGGGAGGTATTCTGCATTTTGTAATACCTGAACCAGACCTAGATGTCACAAGATTCATGGCAGCTATACCTGTCCAAACAGGTCCTTTAGAAATGGCCCCATCTTTCTTTAAATCTGAAATACGTGTACTTCTGGATTGCAGCCAGTCCATTGAAGTAGCTCATTTCACAGCCAACTCTAATTATAATAATAATACAGTGTTCTCCTTTCTTTTTAGTTCAGTCTTCATTTCTTGGCAGTGCTGTTCAGACAACTCCTTCATCGAACACACTGTGGAAGACAAATTCTTTAGGAATGGAAAGCATAAGCAGGCAAAGGTCTTCATCAGATCCACCAACTGTCCATCCCCCTGTTCCACCATTGCGTGTAACATCTACAAGTATGTTTGCTCTTTCCGCTTGCTCTCTCGGTTTTTGCTGCGTCTAATCATGGTTGGCCTTGACTGCCCATTCCACACAACTCATTCTTACTCTTCTTTCTTTCTGGTGAACGTAGGTTTTTCTATCATAGTTTCTGAATATCCGTAATTTATTTCAAGCAGGGCTGAGAAAGATGGCATTTCCACGTAGCTTTGCAAAGAGTTCAGGCTGTCCTCACGTTTTAAAAGATTGTATGCAATATTCTTCGATATCTAGATGGTGCATTGGGATGGTCTGCTATTGATTGCTTCTGTTTATATTTCATGGAAAATATTATTACTATTATTATTATTACTGTATTATTACTATTATTATTATTATTATGTGATGACCCTGGCTGAGATGGGTAGCTGTAGCTACATTTTTTTTTTAAAGAGATGTTAAACGCCTCTCAGGAAGGTTAGTATATTAACCCGCAATGAAATTAACATCCTGTAAGTGTCTTAAACAGTGGTGGGATTCAAATAATTTACCAACCACTTCTCTGCCCTAATGACCAGCTGGGTAGGCGGGGCTCGGTGGTCATGTGATCATGTGGGCGTGGCCAAGNGCGGCATATAAATAAAATGAACCTCGAACCTCGAATTTGAGAAGTGACAGGTGTGGGCATTTTGAAACAAATGGATGATGGATGTAAGTGGGTTTTTTTTTCTTCCCCTTCGCTCTTGTTTCTTCTTCAGAAACAAACAAACTAAAAGTTGGCATGGCGGAACATTCAACTTTTTGAATGGAGGATGCCGATACAACAGGGTCAGGAAGTTGTGTCCGCAGGAAGCTATTTCCTGTAGTGCCATCCGGGTCATCCGAAGGAGAAGGATCCTATAGTTTGTGGTGTAATAATAGCACTGTGTCCACCTCCCTGTTATTATTATTATTATTTATTTGTCTTGTATGCCGCCCACTCCCGGAGGACTCCGGGCGGCGGTTAGAGAACGTAGCGCTGTACCTCTAGGAACCACCTTTTAATAATTAATCTTTTGTGACGACAGATAATTAAAAGGAAATCACAGCACTGAAGGGTGTAGAAGCCCAGCCATGATCATCTTGGGTGTTCCTTTCTTCTTTGTGATTTACGCAGGTTATACTCTCAAGCTTTTGCTCATCATCGGCTAACAAACTGCAGCTTTCCTTGCTACTGTTCCTGCTTTTGAAAACGAATTACTGCAGTTAAGGGGTTATCAGCAAAATACTTCTTAGCTATGGTTACATCATCAGGAAAGAAGTGATTCATGAATTCCCATGTATAACACTCCTTTCCCCACCTCACCAACTGTGACATGATCAGAAATCCTTAAGATCGCTGATGTAACGGGGAAATTTGACTCTCCAATTTCATTTCCTCATCTGTCATCTGCCCCTTTGCATATCTGTTTTTGTGGCATATCCGGCAACTGACTTGCCACAAAAAGGTGAAAAAAGAAATTATGGGACGTGGGAGGTAACTATCATTGCTTTGTCTGCCATCATATCATATATCAGAAGATTTAAAGTTCCAGCTCATCAACTGGGATAAGAAAAAAGAAATTGTATTCCCTGTGCACCTTAATTCAGTTGCCTGGTTTATCCATTTCCTTTAATAGCATGATTTATATTACCATTTATGGTACTGGCTGAATCAGCTAAAACTGCATAACGCATCGATAATTCTGTGTTTTAAAAGTGTGTCAAACAAATTGGATGAAGGAATATAATTACATCTTGAGGATGTGCCCTGTTGAAAGTTGAAAGTAATATGAAAGTTTTGACTCCATAGAGAGCCGTAGCTGAATTGACTAATGGCATAGTTATCCAGAAGCTCTGTTGCAATATTTTTTTTAAAAACAAAATGCAGACCTGCATCCCTCTCTGTGATGCCGTCAGTAACTTCCCTGTTTGTTCTTGCAAATGAACATGATTCCAGAATGCAGTTCAACATGAGTGCATTATACCAGTGAAAACATTTGTGTTTAAATGCTCATATTGAAAACATGAAGAGCTGAGGTGGCGCAGTGGTTAAATGCAGCACTGCAGGCTACTTCAGCTGACTGCAGTTCTGCAGTTCGGCTGTTCAAATCTCACCGG